CTTTAAAGAAGATGGTGCACAATAAATAAAGAAGACCAAAGAAGGAATTAACTTTCTAAAATTCTGGTGCTGATTTTAAACCACATAGCATTACCTTCTTCTGTTTGAACTACCACTGCTTCTTCATTTATGTACATATTTCCCAAGAGCACAGTTACCTGTTCAGGAATTCCCATTCTTCTCATTGTTATCCATAATTTGTTTTGATCCACACACAGTCTTTTGCATAGTCAGTAAACACAAGTAAACATCTTTCTGTTATTCTCTGTTCTCAGCAAGATCCATGTGACATGCTGAAAAATACTTTTTAATCCATGTCCTCTTTTAAATTTGACTTGAATTTTTGACAGTTCCCTATCGATGTATTACTACAATCATTTTTTAATTATCTTCAGTGAAATTTCACATTTGTGTCTTTCATTGATATTGTGTGGTAATTTTTGCATTCTGTTGATTCATCTTTCTTTGGAATGGTCACAAATAAGGGATCTCTGGCAGTCAGTTGGTCAGGTAGTTGTTTTCCAAATTTCTTGGCACAGATGAATGTGTGTTTTCAGTACTGTTTCTGTTGAAATAGCTCAGTTGGTATTCCATTAATTCCTGGAGTCTTGTTTTTGCTAATGCTTTCAGTGCAGCTTGTCCTTGTGGTTCTTGATCATATGCTACCTCCTGATATGACTGAATAGCAACCTTTTTTGTTTGTTTGTTTGGTTTTTTTTTTGGTACAGTGTCTCGATGTATTCATTCCTTCCATCTTCTTTTGATTTTTCCTGTGTCTTTCAATAATTTGCCCTTGTTGTTGTTAAGTTCCATTGAATCAAGTTTGATGCATAGCAGTCTTATAGAGTTTCCAAGGAGCAGCTGGGGAATTGAACCACCAGCCTTGCAGTTAGCAGTCCAGTGCTTATCTTATAGCACTATACCAGGACTAGAATTTGCCCTTGTTGTTTGAAAGTGCTCTTGTGTCTGTTCCGACACATAGCAACCTTTTATTGGGTTTCCAAGGAGGGACTGACAAGCTTGAACTGCTGGCCTTGTGGAGGAGAATATTGGAAGTGCAATGGACTGCCAAAAGAACCAACAAGTCTATGTTGGAAAAAGTGCAGCCAGAGTGCTCCTTGGAGACCAGGATGGCTAAACTTGGTCTTTCATACTTTGGACACACTGTCAGGAGGGACCAGTAGCTGGAGTAAGATACCACGTTTTGGAGGGTAGAGGGTCAGAGAAAAAGAGGAAGACCCCCAGCGAGATGGATTGGCAAAGTGGCAGAATCAATGGGCTCAAGCGTGGCAACGTTAGTGAGGTTGGCCCAGGTTTGGGCAGCCTTTTGTTCTGCTGTGCATAAGGTCACTATGAGTCAGTGGCACCTAACAACAACAAATTTGATTCCTAGTTTTATTACCTGGTCTCCCTTTTTGGAATATGAGTATTATCCTGTCACTGAAAGTGTTTTGTTTCATGATTGATCTTGAAATAGTCTTTATGATGAATGCAATGATACTCAAATCCAATTTGTCATTGTATGGTAGACCATATGATTGTCCAATTTAAATGACGAATACCAGCCTATTTATGCCTAATAATTTTTCATTGGATTCCTGGCATTATGATCTTTACCTTGTTACTTGAAATGTTTGTATCTGTATAAATATTCTCAAGCTTTTTCCTGGGATGCAATCAAATTACTTTGAAATAGTTTAATCATTTCATGTCGTGAGGTTAAGAACTGTTAGGCAGGACTCAGGCAGTATTTAGTCTGTGTCTTCCTTTAGCACTCTTTGAGAGTTCTTCCCTAGCTGGTAGTTTCCTTACATGCACATGCTGATCAGTACTGAGTTTTCAAGTGTCATCTCTATAGCTACCTCTGGGTTCAACTTTCTCCGCTCCAGTACTCTGCCATGTGAACTCTAGTTGTCTTGGTCTTTGTGTACCATCAGCTCCATTTACTCAACTCTGAGAATTTACCAGGCCCCATGGCCTAGAGACTTTCAAGACAGTAAGCTGAAACATTCAGAAGGGTCTTAACCTTTTTTCTTTTCAGAGATCACTGTTCTTTGTTGTCCGATTCCAGTTTCATTAAGCCATTGTTTTCATACATTTTTTGTCTGGAGCTTTTAGTTATCTTTGGCGGGATGGTAAATCTTATCTCTGTTTCTTTCTTTTTCCTAGAAGCAGAAGCGCCAATATATATTTTGCATAGTGAAAATGATAAAAGAACATTTTATTCCCCAAGGATTCAGAAAAGGGACTGCTCATGAAGATTGACTGTTTTCTGCAGGGAGTTTGGAAATAATAGGCTTCATTTTGCACTTTTTTACATTGACTTCTCCAGTACTTTTCTTTATCTGCATTTTTCTATAGTTGGATTATTATTATCTATAATAATGTAATATAAGTCACTAGTCCAGTTATGTTTTACTGGAATTAGATTGGATTTAGTACCTCAAGTAAATATGCCCAAAAGGTCATCTCTGTTTTTACATGCCTGTGTTGCTCCTGATGTCATCCCATGAATATGTGAAGAAATTATATTAAAAGGGAGAATTTAGGCACAATCGCTTTATTGTCTGAAATTTTGCATCACTAAAATGTTCTGAAATTTACTATCGCTAAAATGTTCTGAAATTTATTGTACTGACATATATATTTTATGGAATATTGCTGTGATGCCAAAATAAATCTCAAAATAAATCTGTTTTCAAATTTTTTCCTAGAAATCTGTCACAAGATTAAAAAAGAGATTAAGAGCTAAGTTACATAAACTGTGTATAAGGAAATATCTCATTTGTTAATGTACATGCATTTGTACACATAAATTGGATAATTTTGTACCTAAGTACTTTGTTTTATAATTATTCACTTTGGAGACACAAATGAAGACTTTTTATTCATATTCTGCTGCTTGGGACACTCCTGATTAGAATTGTTAGTTTTCATACTTGTCAATATTAATGCATTCAGCTTCACATGCAATTATAGAATGCATCAATTTACTCTAGAGTAGCTGTAGCAAGGACTTCTAACACTAAATATATGTTCTGAAATAAAATAAGTAATTAATAGTTATTTGCCTTCATCAGTTATAAATTTAAAATGTATGGAAAGCTAGAAAAACTACTATTTCAGAGTATCTTTGCATCCAAGGACATAAATTATCATCCGATGTAAATTCTACCATTTGTAATTTTAAATGATGTTCTTTAAACAGTTAATATTACAGCCCATTGCTACAATGAATTAAGTAGTTTTAAGTGATAGACATTTATTCTCTTATACTTCTGGAGGCCAGAAGTTCTAAATAAGTTTCACTGGGCACCAACCAAATTGTTCCCAGGCCCACCTTGATGCAGGAAGCTGTATTGGAGAATCCCTCTTTCTGTCTATTCCAGCTTTTAAAGATGCATTCCTTGATGATTGCCCCTTTCTCTGTCTTCAAAGCCAGCAACATTGTCATACCAACTTCTCTGCATTCCTCTGTGATGACACTTGTGATTACAATGTGGTTCACTCCCATAATTTTGAATAATCTCATTGAAAAATCCTTAACGTAAATCACATCTCCAATTTTGCATATGGTCAAAATAGGAGGCAACAGTGCCAGAAGTCTTATAAAAACAAAACATGTTAGAAATAAACACAATCCAGAAAGAAGTGCAGATAAATTTGATACTATTAGCAAGAGTTTAGAGTTCCTTTACTATGTTCTAGCATTTTATATTGCTGACTGACATTTTTGCTCCTGATAGGAACAAACAGGATATTAATCTTAAGTTTTTTTCTAATATACTTCATTTAATTCTATATACTTCTTTATCATACTTCATGGTCTTTCCCTCCTCTAGAAAATTCATGCTTATTAGTGTAAGGTCTTTAATTTTTAAACTGGGGCATGGATTTATATAGCCTAATACTATGGTTAATTCAGAAGCAATTTGCAGTTTATTTTGGTGTCCATAGATAACATGCCTTCTTATTATTTTTAAGCTCTTTCTTCACCCTCTTTTTTACAGTTTTGTTTTTTTTTAACTTTTTATTATTTGAGTAGAGGTTTACAGAGCACATCTTCAGTTTTACAGTCAACAAATCATATATTTTATTTCACTTCAATGATTATAGTCCCTCCATGTACCATTGTTGTTGTTAAGTGCCGTCGAGTCGGTTCTGACCCATAGCGACCCTGTATAGGGTTTCCAAGGAGTGACTGGTGAGCTTGAACCTCTGGCCTTGCAGTTCAAATGGCTTTGCAGTCTGGCGCATTAACTCACAGCGCAACACCAGGACTCCATCTGTGTACCATTAGTTAATAGTATTTACCTGGATTCCCTACCTTCATCTTTCTTTTGCCAACTTCACTCTTGTATATCACCTTCTTTGTCATCCAAATTGACATGTGTCTACCCTATTGTTGTTGTTGTTAATTGCCGTCTAGTTGATCCTGACTCATAGTGACTCTGTATAAGGTTTCTGAGGAGCTGCTAGTGAGTTTGAATCACCCCTCGCAGTCTAGCGCCACAACAGGCATAACCAGTGAATAATTTTCCCTTCCTCTCCACCCCTGATACTCTCAAAACTAGTGAAGAATTTAGCATTCTGCCACTAATAGGATGGTAGCTCTTAGGAGACAGCTCTTAAGGTTTCTCAGTTGCTAGAAGATCATAGATTTCTGAGCTAGATTATTCTTTCATATTTTTGTTCGGTATCATTGTAGGATAGATACTGGACATCTGACCGCAAGGTTGGCAGTTTGAACCCACCAGCCACTCCTTGGAAATCCTGTTAAGGTTGCCCTCAGTTAGAACCAACTCAAGGGCACTGCACTTAACAACAACATTATTGTAATGTTTACACTTTAGTTCTTTGAAGAGAAAATGTCATTAGATGCTTCTGTTATACTGTGTGGTTCATTAACTTGCAGAATGACCAATAAATAATTTTTAGCAAAGTAGCCATGTATTTTGTTGCATAATTTATAAGCTTACATTTTCTTCTTTGACCTGTAGGATACCAGAAGGCCCCATTGACCAGGGGACAGCTTCAGGAAGGGTACGTGCTTTAGAAGCTCAGCTTGTAAAGGCCAAAGAACAGATTGAAAATTACAAGAAACAAACCAGAAATGGTAGGTGATGATGCAGTGTTTTTCGTGTTTCAAAATACCGGTGTTATGCACAAATAATTAAAAATTTCCTTTCATCAGAATGTTGAAAATGCTGAATGCTGAAACTGTGTCTTTTTGACTGCAGGTCTGGGGAAGGATCATGAAATCCTGAGGAGAAGAATTGAAAATGGAGCTAAAGAGCTCTGGTTTTTTCTACAGAGTGAATTGAAGAAATTAAAGAATTTAGATGGAAATGAACTCCAAAGACACACAGATGAATTTCTTTCAGATTTGGGACATCATGAAAGGTACTATTTACCCAATAGATTTGAGTTTAATAAGGATTATAATCTAAGAATGGGAAATTTAAATTTTGTTAATTTCACATTTGAATAGTAAAAAATGTGCACTTTTTTAGGAGAGGAATACCTTAGATATCAAAGGCAATCAAAATGCTGTCTATCATATAAAATATATCATAGGAAAATATTACTTAAATGTTTCTAGATGTCGTTATATCCTAAGTAAACTCTGAAGTCAGTGGTACCAGCCAACAGTATGCTAAAACATCTTGCAGTAAATTCCCTTCATATCTAATCAATATTTGAATTGGAGAGCAAATTTTACCTGAGTACACTGGAACTGGGAGTCATGGTGTGTGCTGTGGATTAGTACGCTGGACTGCAAAGTCTGTTTGAGCCTCAGGGTCGGCAGTTCAAACTCACCGGTTTGTCCTTGGAAACCCTATACAGGGTTGCTGTGGGTCAGAACTGACTCAAGGGCACTCAACAACAGCAACACTGGAACTGAGAGTCCTGGTATGGCACTGTAGGATAAGCACTGGACTGCAAAGTCAGATTGAACTGCAAGGTCAGTGGTTCAAATCTACCAGCTGCTCCTTGGAAACCCTATACAGGGTTGTTATGAGTCAGAACAAATTCAACAGCACTAAATAACAACACCACACTGGAACTTATGTGAGGTTGGCAGATATTTTCTAATTTAAAAATTAGAAACTTCAAAATAGTCCTTTTTAGAATTGTTAACTAAAGGTTAAAGGTTTTTTATAAAAAGCAGCATTCTGTTAATTATTCTTCCATTTAGTTGCTATAACAAAGAATCTGGATCTGCCTAGTTATTTTGTTTTTCTGTGTATGCATTCCTAAAAAATGTAGTTTGTCTTCCATAGATAAATAACATTTGGGTGTTGGTATATTCATGCAGAGCAAAATATATCTGAGAATCATTATAGGTACAGTGAAACCTGTCCTTAGGTCTATTATATTTAAAAGACTATATTCCTACTAGGATTCTGATAACAATTACTGTCTCATTAGTGAACAATCAAAGAAAAATTACCATATTAACATAATCTAACACTGTGAAGAAGAAAAGAATTACCCCATGCAAGCAAGGGATTCATATATATTAACATCACTAGTTTTATTATACAGATTTGAAAAATTACTCTGCTATTTTAAGGGAAATTATGAATAAATAAAAGTTACCAATTTATTGCAATCACTTTAGCACTAATGAGTCTACAGAAGTATGATAGCATTTATTTTAAGGGGCATTGAATTGTTAAGCCACCCATTATGTGGTGGTGGTGTGATCTAGTTGGTTCTGACTCACAGCAACCCTGTGTTGGGTTTCCAAGGAGCGACTGGTGGATTTGAACAACCAACCTTGTGGTTAGCAGTCCAGTGCTTATCCTAAAGTGTCACACCAGGACTCCTCTAAGTAGCCCCTTGAAAATTTTAAGCCCAGCTTACAGTCAGGACATACTTTTTTGACTTTTACGACTATTCGACAAAGTGCTAACTAATTCTGCTCTCTTAATGCTTCTCTGCATTACCCTAATGCTGATAAATAGGCAATGAACTTGTATTAATTGAAATTTTGTGCTTTGCTTAAGGGAATTTTGTAGGGAAATGCAGATCTGAAGAGGATTTAAGTTGGGTAGGTTATGTGGTATATATGGAAGAATTTGAGTTCTTGACTTCAATTTTAAGATTTGAGCAATGACGTCCATCACTTGTCTATCAGTTTGCCACACTGTAGTAGTTTGTTGCTGTGATTCTGGAAGCTATGCCTCTGTTATTTATATACTGGAGAGTCATTGTGAACAGGTTTCAGCTGAGCTTGCAGGCAAAGCTAGACTAAAAAGGAGAGGTGGACCACTCTGAAAGCTTAGCCACTGAAAACCTTATGAATAGCAATGGGACATTGTCATATATAAGGTCAGAAGATGAGCCCCTCAGATTGGATGACCCTTAAAATACAACTGGGGAAGAATGGCCTTCTCAAAGTAGTGTTGGCCAAAGATTTGAGGATCTTCATTTGTTGATGTGACACACTCACATGAGAAAAAACAGCTGCAAACGTCTATTGATAATCAGAACACAGAGTATATGAAATATAAATCTAGAAAAATTGGAAGTCATCAAATGACCTGGAACACATAAAAATTGATATCCTAGGCATTAATGAGCAGAAATAGACTCGCATTGGCCATTTTGAATCAGATCAACATATGGTTTACCATCCTGGGAAAAACAGATTGAAAAGGAATGGTGTCATTAAAAAGAACATTTCAAGTACAATGCTATCTGTGATAGAATAATAGTCATATGCCTACAAGGAATACCAGTTGACACCAGTATTATTCAAATTTGTTTGTTGTAGTTAAGTGCTGTCAAGTTGGTTCCAACTCATAGTGATCTTTTGTTGTTTCCAAGGAGTGGCTGGTGAGCTTGAACCTCCCAATTTGTGGTTCAAACCAACCTTACGGTCAAAACCCACAGCTCCACACCAGGACTCCCATTCAAATTTAGATACTGACTATTAAAGCCAGTGTGATAGTTAGGTTCTGTGTCAGCTTGACTGAACCAGGATGATAGTTAACTCTATGATAACCAGTTAACTCTGTGATAACCAGTTGATAGTTAACTCTATGATTGGCTTTGAGCAGGCATAGTTAACTCTGTGATGATTGGCTGTGAGCAGCCAATCAATCGACAAGATGTTTCCTTGTGGGCTGCTCCCAATTTAATGGACATGCAGGAAAAACTCGACCATCATCCTACTGCCACCCCTGCTTCAGCACAGAGGTCCTGCTCTGTGCCCTGATTTGGGATTCCTGCCTTCCAGAGCCACCCACTGATCTTGGTTTACCTGACCTGCGCTTGGGACTCTCCTAATGTGTACAACTGTAAGCCATTTCCTTGATTAAATTTCTCTTTATTAAGTAGTGCTGGTTTTACTTCTCTAGGGAACCGAGCCTAAGACAGCCAGTGATGAAATTGAAAAATTCTACCAACTACTTTAATCTGAAATTGATTAAAGGTGAACTGGTAAATGCTGGTGATTGGAATTCGAAAGTTGGAAACATAGGGGACTGATGAGTAATTGGAAAATATGGCCTTGGAGATAGAACTGATAATGGAGATCACATGATAGAATTTTGGAAGACCAATGACTTATTCATTGCAAAAACTTTTGTCAACAGGATAAAAACTAACTATACACATGGGCCTCACAAGATGGAATACATAGGAATCAAATTGATTACATCTGTTCTAAGACATAATAGAAAAGATCATCAGCCTAAACAAAGTCAAGGGCTGACTATGAAATATATCATCAATTACTCACATGCAAGTTCAGGCTGAAGCTGAAGAAAATTAAAACAAGACTATGAGAGCCAACATATTACCTTGAGTATATCCCATCTAAATTTAGAGATCATCTTAAGAAGAGATTTAATGATTAGACACCAAGACCAAAGACCACGAGAGCTCTGGGATGACATCAAGAACATCATACATGAAGAAAGCAAAAGGTCATTAAAAAGACAGGAAAGAGCTCTCTCTTTCACTGTGGACCTGGGAGTCTACCATTGTAAGGTGCAATCTTACAAAGACTGAAGTCTTTGATCTTCATCAGTTCAATCAGCATAATGCCAACAATATAACATCTTGTGGAAGGGAAAGGAGACCAAAGTCCCTGAGAACTAAATTATGACATTATTCTGGAAAGCTGATATGCCATAATGAAGGACAGTAAAGATGTATTGTTGGCTTTCTAACTGAAGACAAACTGCTTATGGTGATTCTTTGAAACTGGAAAGATATTGGCCAAATCAAACTGATAATACTGAAGGAAAAGGCACAAACTGTACTGAAGACATTGACAAAAAAAACAAGGCTCCAGGAATTGATGAATATAAATTGAAACCTTTCGATAAACTGTTAATTGGGAGATAGCTATCTGGTCAACCAGTTGGAAGAGATCAATATTTATGCTGTTTCCAAAGAAAAGTGACCCAATAATATGTGCAGATCATATAACCATATTATCAGTATCATGAACAAATAAAATATTTTGCTGAAATTAATGTTAAAATGGGGCAATAATACATTGAAGAGAACTGCCAAAAATACTGGATTCAGAAGTGGACTTGGAACTAAGGATGTCATTGCTGATGTCAGATGGATCTTTGAAAGTGGAGAATACAGAAAGATGTTTACACATGTTTTAATGACTATGCAAAAGATTTGGACTATGTGGATCACAGCAAAATCTGAATAACATTGTGAATAATGTTTATTCCAGACACTTAATTTTACTCATGAATAACTTATACATAGACCAAGAAGCAGTCGTTAAAATAGAACAAGGGGATACTGAATGGTTCAGCAGCAGAAAAGTATGCACAAGGGTTGTATCCTCTCATCATATTTGTTCAGTTTTTGTGATGAGCAAATAATTCAAGGACCCGGAGTATATGGAAAAGAACATGTCATCAGGATTGGACGAAAACTCATTAATTATATGTGATATGCAGGTGATACAACCTTGCTTGCTAGAAGCAAAGAAAGCTTAAAATGCTTACTGATGAAGATTAAAGACTACAGCCTTTCTAATGCTGTACCTCGATGTAAAGAAAACAAAAAGACTCACAACTGGGCCAATAAACAGCACAATGATGAAAGGAAAAAAGACTGAAGCTGTCAAAGACTTCATTTTGCTTGCATCCACAGTCAGCACTCATGGAAGCAGCAGTCAAGAAATCCAGTGAAATATTGCATTATGTAAATCTGCTACACAGGACCTCTTTAATGTGCTAAAGAGCAAAGATATCAGTATGAGAACTAAGGTATGCCTAGTGTAAGCCATGGTATTTTCAATTGTCTCATATACATGTGAATAAGGACATTCATATGGACAGTTAATAAGGAATTCTGGAGAAGAATTGATGCATTTGAATTATGGTGTTGGAGAAGAATATTAAAAGTACCATGCA